GGGCGGCCAGCCGCTGCTCCCACGACCCACCTTTTTTGATCTTTTTCTCCTGGATCTTCTCTGTGCACATCTTGTAGGCCTCTGACTGCTGGTATTCCCGCAGCTCCTTCATGTACTGCTGTTTCTCCCGCTCCGCTTCATCCAGGTACCGCTACGGTCACAGAGGGTCCTCAGCCTGGCCCAGCCCCAGGCTCCCTGGGGGGGCTGCTGACCCCTCCCCACTACTCAAGACCCAGCTCCTGCTCACCAGCCTGCCAGTACTGGGACAAGCTCCCTTCGTGGAGCTGCAGCCAGGTAACAAGCAAAGGGGTTTGGGGTGCAGGCTCTGGAGCATGCTCCCCAGCCCTGGGGGGGTTCTCTCCTGGGGGCTGGTACCTGCTTCTCCGAAAGCTGCAGCTTGCTCCACTCAGCCCCCAACATCTTGGTGATCTCCGGAAAGGGCAGGTCAGGATGCTGCGTGCGAATCTGCTCGCGCCGCTCGTTCAGAAAACGCACGTAGCCCGTCACGGGGGCTTTGGGGCCATTGGGAAGGATCTTCTTCCTCTTCTTGCCCTTGGGCCAGCCCCTCTTCTTCACCGGCTGGCACCCAGCAAAGGGAAAGGGACAACCCGTCGTGTATCAGAAAGGACGATGCCGTCATGACGGCAGGATGCAGGAGCAGCCCGCAGATCCACCTGGGCCTCCCGTCCCTCAAGGGAAGGTCTGGGCCTTTCCTCAGGCCACGGCCGCAGCCACGGCCTCGCCTCCTGGGGACTGTGTGGGGAGGGATGCGGGTACCGGAGCTCACCTCCTCCTCACCGTGCGGCTTCTCCCCACTCGTCCGTGTCGACTCTCCCTTCTCCTGCTTGATGGCCACCAGGAAGTTTCCATGCTGAGCTTTGCCCGTGGCATGTCTGCAACCAGAGTACCCGTCAGAAAGAGCTGGGAAAACTGCCGGGACCGATGGCAACACATCCCCTGGCAGCACGGTCTTGCGCTTGCCAGATCCTCCAGCTCTCGCCCAACCAAACAGCTCCCAAAATCGCTACCAGCCCTGGAGCCCCTGTTCCTCTGGGAGGGGAGGCCACAGTTGAGAGATGGGGCTTGAGCAGAGCCCAGCACCGGGCGAACAGGGCGATCCTTGGCACACAAAAGCTGCCCCAAGGTCCAGTGATAAACCTAGGACCTTTCAGTGACATTTGGAAGGGAGCTGGGAGCTGCCAGTGTTGCTCTTGGGGACAGGTAACAGTGACAGTCACATCCCTGTGTGCCACCAGGGCTCCGGTGCACACCTCGGCAAGGAGTCCCAAGCGGACGACAGAGTTGATACTCCTCTGCAAGGGAGGAGGAGCCGC